ATGTGTTTTCAAGCTAGTGATGGAATGACAGCAAGATCGGCGTGGTACCCTGAGCTTATTGTTATAGTGGTTAAAAGGTGCCACGATGTATAGTGAACCAGTGGTTGTATGTTTCATATACGCGGGACCCGGTAGTCATTATCCAGAGTTATTCGTAGCAACGGACTTTGATGACGAAGTCTGATCCAAGTGGGGGATAATTGTTGTAACGTCTTAAATTTTAACACCAAAAATTTCATTTTAATAATAATAAAACCATCATCCAAAACGTGTTTATAAACCCATGAAAGGAAATCAGAAGATGTCAATAATCATCCAAGTACATAAAATCAACAAAATGCAGAATAACGTGGTGTGTGCGATGCAATCATCCCGAGCCCTTCCCTTTCAATCTGGAAGTACCTGAAACATAAACTAAAAACCGTAAGCACGAATCTTAGTGAGTTACCATAAATACCTCATACCATACATATCAAACATACAATGGGCCATGCCCAACAACCATCGGGCCCCGCTCGGAATAGATCTGTCAATAACATGAGATGGGCCCCGCCTCATGACATTCATCAGGCCCCGTCCGACATTCATACAGACACATAAAACACATGCAAGAATCACTAAGACAAATAGCATACAATACACTCATCAGGCCCCGCATCGCATCTAACCCCACCCGGTATACATATCACATACTATACATGCAAGATTCCTACAAACAACTAGCATCCTAATCATAATGAATCATGGGCCGACATTGGTGCCTTCGACCCGCTAAACACTGTGAGGAGACTCACGTCAAATTGTTGAAAATCAGATAAATGCTCGGACTGTTGATCCGGAAAGTCCCCACACTAAATAATCAATAAAACCCCAATTATTAACTGGACCATAAACCATAAATATGAATCTATTTAATTTTTCCAACTCTTAGGGTAAATGACCATTTTACCCCTTCCTTACTTGGCCCAATAACCGAGGCCTAATCCAGTGGCTCCAAAAGCCCAATGTAGCCCATAATCCAGCTAAGGCCCAAAGTCTAGAGGGAGTCCAAGCTCCAACAGCTAACCCTCACGTCGTGAACAGCTCATGGTCATGTCGTGAGTATCAACTTGACCCGATCCCAACTCAGCGGGTCAACTCAGCCCATCAAATCGCCTAGTATCGATTCCAGTCTTCGTCATGTCGTGGCCATTCCTGGTCACATCGTGACCCAATACAGACAAAACAGTCGGGACGACATGCATTCTCACGACGTGACAGGCTCATTCCTCACGTCGCGAGCACTGCCTTGGCCAACTTTGAGCATTAAGCTCTTATTCCTTTCAGCCACTACTTGGGGCTTTCTAGAGGGTCTTCCCTCACCCAAAGGATGCTAAAAATCATAGATTTTTATTCATGCATGTCCAATGCATAACTCAAACATGCACTAGGTCAAAAGAGGGAAAATGAGATCAGGACTCATGCTTGGAGTCTAAAACTACTCCAAAACTGAGATCCAAAGATTATAATATAGAAGATGTCTCAATGATCTATAAATTTTCCAACTTTGTGGATCCTATGCATGCAATCCCACACAACCATGCAAAAAGGAGCTTAAAATTTTGATCTAGCATGCAAGAGGTGAAAAGGCCAGAGCTTTCTGACTTACAATGGTCCAAAAGCTCCGCAAGAAGGTGAGGTAGAAACTGGTTTGCCAAGAGAATGCTCCACAAAAGTATTCTTCCACTTCAATAAGCCAAAGACCACCAAATAAGTGCTTCAAAGTCACCAAAAATGGCTAAGGACCTCAATCAGGTCGAGATTAGGGTTTTCAGGAGGCAAAAGAGTGAAGGAGGCTAAGGATAGGCAAACCTAGCCTTCTCATTCCATTAAATACCCGAAATATTAGGGTTTTAGTCATCAGGTCATTCTCACGTCGTGAGCATTCAAAGTCTCATGTCGTGAGACTTAAAAGCACGGGTCAACTAGTCAACCGCCGCTCATGACATGACCACCATGTCTCACGTCGTGACCTTCTTCCAAAGCTAAAAATTCAAGAAATTAAATACCTCTATGATTCGGGTGTTACAATTGTAACACCCAGTTCTTGGTAAGCGCCATATTAGAATTTCAACTTTAATTCTCAAAGTTTAAACCCTGCTCACGACGTGAGCACTAAGGTGTCACGACGTGAGCCCAGATGGAAAAATCGCACATGTTTTTTATCCTCAGGATGTGAGCCCTTATGGATCACGACGTGAGACGCGACTGCAAGTAAACCCTAATTTTGGGGATTTATTTCTGTATTTAGAGGAAGTGAGGGCTAGGGTTAGCCCACCCTTATCCTCCATCACCTCCTTACACTCCCCTTTGAAACCCTAGCACCCATATTTGATCTTGAGCTCAATTATGGTGATTCTAGCCAGGAAGAAGAAGAGGAAGAACATCTATTTCATCATTTCTACATTCAAGTCTCACCATGAATCAGCTACATACCTTCTGGACCTTTGTGAGTTTCAAAGTTTATTGCTTTTTGAGTTTATAGGCTTAGATCTAGGTTTTTATGCCTTATCTTTCATGTATAAGATGATATAGTGTTTGGAATCCATAAAGTTGCCAAATTTATGGATCTCTAGTGTCCCTTGGGTAATATAAGTGCTAGATCTGGAGTATGGTTGAGTTTTAAGACTCATGCATGAGCTTTTAAGGTCATTTCTTCCTTTTGTGCCCTAGTTTGTGTTTGGGGAATGCATTGGACATGCATGTCCAAAAAATCCATGATTTTTATGATGTAATGGAGTAGATAAGACATTCTAGAAGTGTTGGTTACATATCTTAAAAGGATTAAGAGCTTTGTTCATCAAATATGTCCAGAGCGTTCCTCACGTCGTGATCACTTAGGTGTCACGACGTGAGAGTGATGATTTCCAATTATTTTGTCGTATAAGGCCACAACATGACCAATAGATGGCCACAAACATGACGAATGGTTGGATGGCTTTTGAATAAGGATTTTGACCTTTGACCGTTGGCCAAGTTTGACTTAGGAGCATTTTGGGTAATTTGAATAGTAGTTGAGGTTAGGTGCCTTTTTTATTGTATATATGTGACCGGTATAGACAACATCTGGAGCCGTGATCTGTTCAACTATTTTCATACTGTAAGGTGAGTTTTCCTCATTGTACTCATAGGTCGAAGGCACCAATGCCGACCCACTAGGTTATGTTATGTATCATGTATATAGGATGTTGCTATGCTATAGTGAATTGTTAGATTGGTAGATATGTATGATTACCTGTTTGCTGGTTATATGTTTTTCTGTTGCATATGTCGACATAATGAGGTTTGGGTTAAGGTTTTACTGCTCTGTATGTAAGCCAACAGATCAGGGCATTAAAATCCGATGACTGATTGGACCCGTTGCATATTGACAATCCAGTCTGATGACTGATTGGGCTAGGGGTACTCTAGCCTGATGGTTGTGGACCCGAGGGTATTCCAGTCCGATGACTAATTGAACCCAACATGCATGATTGTATATGTTTTGTTGTGTGGAGTATTTTGGGGGGAACTTACTAAGCTTGGTTTAAGGTACTTTAGAGGAGATGGGCAAGGCGAAGGCTTGATCGTGCACATCATCATAGATTTTTCTTAACATGTGACTTTGGGATACTCTGATTTATAATCATGGCTTTTGGAAACTATGTTTTGCATGACTTATGGTTTTTGATATGGTTTTAAAAATGAAAATTTTTATCATGATTTTTGGGATGTTACACACCATCACCATTCATCTTCTTTGGTTACGTCGTTGTCATCTCCAGAAATCGAAAATGAAACCTTAGCATCGTCGCCACCTCAAGATCGATCGATAGATCTGCAAACCTGAATATACAAAGTCTTGAGTTAGGGTTTCTTATATACGAAAGCGGCGACGAAATGGGCGACACCGATAAGTCGGAGCCGAATAATGTTAGGGTTCTGTCGAAGATCTAAGGCCTTTCCGTATGCGTTGCTGGAGATCTATCGGTTTTTCGACGACAACAACGTTCTCAAAAAAGCCCGGCGAGAAGGATTTCCAGATCAGAACTCCGACGAAATCAGAAAGAGATGTTTCAACATCGGCGAGGCTAGAGAAGGAGAGAGACAGTGGATAGAAAGAGAGACAAATTAGAGGAAGAATGACGGTTGTGGCAGTGGTTCCGGCTGGTGGTGTTGGTTTTCGACATACAATAATGGTTTTGATAGATGGTGGTAGTTTTCGGTAGGTGGCGGTGGTTTCCGGCAGGTGGCGATGATTTTCGGTGACACAATGGAGTGAGAGAAAGATAGAGATGTGTAGTATTTATGTTAAAGAGATTGTGGTAGGCGTGATAGTAGGGGTGAATTTGTATTTTTATTTGTATTTTTTGTGTTTTTTTAAATTAAAAAATTAGGAAAAAAATAATAAGAAAAGTCATATTAATAAGAGCAAATACGTAATTATAAAAAGTTCTAAAAATTTAATGACTAAAACCGTAACAAAATAAAAGTTTTGGACTAATTATGTAATTATACTACTCCAAAATATTTTAGACCAAATAATAATTTTCCATAAATTATATTTTTATAATTTTGTCCTGAAAAAAAAAAAGAAAATTGAGAGGGAACGAAAAAAAGCTTATTTTTTATAAAAAATTTCCTTCCATTTTTTGGAGGATAAAAAAAAGCAAGAGAAGTAAGAGAAAGGAAAAGAGAGTAAACTTCTATTTCATACCATCTCTTTGCCTCTTAATATAAATAAAAACTGGGGAACGGGGTATTAGTGTAACTTCTCGCTACAAAAGAGTAGTGGGTTATAATTTACTAATTATTAACCATGGTTAAACAACCAACCTCACCCCACACACACCATAACCACTATCTCCCAGCGGTTTATATATGGAGAAGTGTGGAAAGTAGAAACCCACAAAACCTGCAAGAAGAAAAAACACACTTTCACCATAACCCACTCACAAACCACAGATCGAGAAGAGAAGAAAATGGTCGGAGATGGAAACCAGCATGGTATGATGGTTCATGTACCTCCATGGACGCTCATGGACGATTCTGTCGCCGGAGTTTCACCCTTTTCTCCTCGAAGCCCTAATGCCACCATAAACAGCTTATCATCCATTGAAGACTACGCTTATTTCCTACGTAACGACGCCGCGCTCCGACGCTATCTGGAAGAAGACCTGGATGGAGATGGATCTGGCTCCGGTTGTACGGATTTTGACATCACGTCGGAGGCTTATGCTTGTGATAGTTTCCGGATGTATGAGTTTAAGGTACGTAAGTGTGCTCGTGGCCGGTCGCATGATTGGACCGACTGTCCGTACGCTCATCCAGCGGAAAAAGCTCGCCGCCGAGATCCCCGGAGATACAGTTACTCCGGGACTGCGTGTCCTGAGTTCCGTAAAGGAAACTGTAAGAAAGGAGACGGTTGTGAGTTTGCTCACGGCGTTTTCGAGTGTTGGCTCCACCCAAGCCGGTACCGTACGCAACCGTGTAAGGACGGAATAAACTGCCGCAGACGTGTGTGTTTCTTTGCTCATACGCCGGAGCAACTTCGTGTACTCAGTCCACATACTGATTCTTACGACGGCACGTCGCTAAAAGGCTTACCGCCGTTCTTCTCTTCGCCGTCGGAGACTTCCACACCCCCATCGGAGTCCCCACCGATGTCTCCGATGGACAGCTCTCTCAGCCGGTCACTAGGTTCGGTTTCGGTGAACGATATGTTATCATCTCTCCGGCGTTTGCAGCTTAACAACAAAACCCCATCTATGCCAACCGCATGGAGCCTACAAATGGGTATGACCCTTCCCTCACCCCGGTCGGGTTTCTACAGCCTGCCGTCAACTCCAACCCGACCTGTAACCCGACCCGGTCTAGGCTTTTCCGATATCTGGGAAGAAGGGTGTGTGGAGGAAGAACCTGCCATGGAAAGAGTGGAATCTGGTAGGGGTTTGAGGGCGAAGATGTTTGAGAAGTTGAGCAAGGAGAATCTGGTAGGGGTGGATCCGAATCCGGAAGAAGGTTCAAACCCGGATGTTGGATGGGTCTCGGAGCTTGTGAAGTGATGGTATCCAGATTCCAGAACTCTCCAACACCTTCAAAGTGTTCAAATTTAATGATGGATTAATTAATTGAGGGAATTTAATGAAAGGTAAATTAGTTGTAAACCATTTTGTTTACTTATTTTCCCTGCTGATGTACATAGCTTAAAAGGAAGGGCGTGAAGTGTAAGTCTATTTTATGGGGGCTGGTATGGTGGACGAGTACAAGAAAGAGATGGGAGGAAATTAAAGGGTGGAATTTTTATATTCGAAATGATTTTTATATATTTAGTGTGATAAATGTAATTTGTCACCTTGATGAACTGTTACTGACCCTTTATTGGAGTATTATTGATATTGATGTGTACTTGTTCTTACTGTTTCTTTGATTGCACTTATAGAACTTAAAACATGTCTGTATGTAGTAAGCATGCTAGCCTATTTGATGCAAGTATGTAATAATGATATGCATCCAAGGAAACATGAACTGAACATGTAATCATGTGTAATCTAATTATAGATCTTATTGGGCCACATAAAATCACGTCAATTAAATTTAACACTTGAGGAGTTAAAAGTCTCTTGGTCTTCTTGAAATTGATGATATGCGTGGGAAGGCTATGATAATGGAGCAAACGAAAGCACCAAGGGAGATTTTTAGATCTAAATCCTAGAGCATTTTACTCTCTTTGTGGTTGTTATTCTCTTAATCTAACATTATGTGATATGGCTAACAAGTGCGTTTAAGGAAAGAACTATTTTGGACTCATCCAACGTATTTATACTATCTTTGCAAATTCTATTAAGATGTGGAAATTTTGAAAGATAATGTTAAAAGCTTCGAGTCTTAAGTCATTATGTCAAACTCGTTGGGAAAGTCGGGTTGAGAGTGTAAAGGTTATTAAACTGCAACTTGTTGATGTACGAGAAGCTTTACTTGAAGTTGGAGAAAAGGATAATGATGCTGCAGTTGCAAGTGAAGCAACTTCATTGACAGAAAAAGAATTTGGTGACTTTGAATTTTTGGTATCAACAGTTATCTGGTATCAAGTATTAAACCATGTGAATATTGTAAGTAAAAAGTTACAATCAAAGGATATGCATGTTGATAATGCTATTAAAGAAATAAACAAATTGATTGAGTACTTCAAAGATTATAGAGAAATTGGTTTTTCAAATGCAATTATTGAAGCTAAGGAGATTGCTATTGAATTGGGTATTGAGCCAATATTTCCACAAAAGCGTTTGATTCAAAGGAAAAGAAGGTTTGATGAGAGTTCAAGCAGCGAAGAAGTTTCATTTACAGCCGAAGAGAATTTCAGAGTCAATTATTTCTTATACATTGTTGATCAAGCTAGTTCTTCTCGAGACAAGATTTGAACAATTCAAAGAGTATGACAAATTATTTGATTTTTTATTTCCACATAATTTGAAGGGAAAGGAAGATAAAGATCTTAAGTCGTCTTGTCATCGTCTTGAAAACGCACTCAAGTTTAAAGAAAGATCAGATATTGATGTCGAGGAACTTTATACAGAGTTGAAATTATTTGAGGCATTGGACACCAATGAATTTAGTAACCCTATAGATGTTTTGAAGTTTTTGAAAGAACTTGATTATTTTCCAAATGCAAGCATTGCATATAGAATATTGTTGACTATTCCAGTAACAGTGACATCTGCAGAAAGAAGTTTTTCGAAATTGAAGTTGTTGAAATCTTACTTACGCTCAACAATGAACCAGCAAAGACTTAGCGGTTTGGCCATGATATCTATCGAGAACGAAATCTTAGATAGTATAGATTACGATGAGTTGATCAACCAATTTGCTATCAAGAATGCTATGAGAGCTTCACGGATCGTGGGTTAGCTGTTACAATATGTAATTACTCATTAAAATACTATGTTTTTGCTTTGTTTATTGCTATAAAGTTTATAGTCGTTTTTAAACAATAGTTTATTTATTCTTAGTCGTTACACGTTAGGGCTTAGGGCCTTTTTTTTCCGGTTCGTCCTGGGCATTTGAATCCTCAGGACCGTCCCTGACTATATGATTGCGACTTGGACATCGTAAAACTTCTTAAAATGCAAGTTCAAATCAAAAGGCCTTGAGCTATAAAAGTATTAAAGTAAATTGCCTTCTAAAATAGTGATTTACAAAATGGAGCTAAATACATGCTAAGACTGGTATAGCAAAAGTAAAGAGAATCGCACAAATGGCTAATGGCTAAAATGGGATATGTTTTTAACATCATGACTACTACTGTTCGTAACTTTCTTGGGATCGATTGCGAAATATTATTTCCTTTTTTCTTTAAGTAGGTTTATGTAATGGTTTATAAGTGTTCTTTTCATGGTAAATTTTAATGTCCGCAAGCCTTCAAACAATTTGAACAAATAGTTCATAGTAGTTTTTTTCGTATACTAGGGTTGTAGGAAGAGACAAATTATAATATTTATAGTAATTTCTTTGTATAGGATTTGTATAGAAGGGTGGTTGGCAGTGCCATCTATAGGAATAACATATATGACGACAAAATAGTGATATCGATGAAATAATGTCCGTTAATTTTTAATTGGTGATAGACTATTAGAAGTTGATAAACATTTATACCTAGGGCTGTAAAACAAACTGAATGTTTGGCGAACCGTTCTGCGGGAAGTTCGTTTATGTTTGTTTATTTATAAATGAACGCACACGAACAAAAATTCTCGTTCGTTTAATTAAACTAACGAACACGAACAATTGTCTTGTTCGTTTATGTATGTTCATGAACGTCGTTTATGATGTTCGTTTACGTTCGTTTAAGTTTATTTATATTTATTTATGTTCAATTTTTTTATATAACTATATTTAGGGCTGTAAACGAACCGAACGAACACGAACAAAGGCTTGTTCATGTTCGTTCGTTTAAGTTAGCCGGATAAACGAACGAACACGAACGGATAAACGAACAGAATTTTCTTGTTCATGTTCGTTCGTTTAACAAATTGTCTTGTTCATGTTCGTTCGTTTATGTTCGTGAACATGCTAAACGAACATAAACGAACCAAGATAAACAAACACAACTGAACATATATGAACATAAACGAACTATAATATAGTAATGTAATAAAAAGACAATTGAAAATATATGAACATAAAATAACTTAAACGAACGAACATAAACGAACGTTCACGAACGTAAATGAACGAACGAAACCATTGTTCATGTTCGTTCGTTTAACCAAACGAACGAGAATTTGTGTTCATGTTCGTTCATTTATTAAATAAACGAACATAAACGAACTTTCCGCCGAACAGTTCACGAACGGTTCGCCGAACGTTCAGTTCGTTTACAGCCCTAACTATATTATATGTTCGTTTATGTTCATATACGCTCAATTATATTTGTTTATCTTTGTTCGTTTAACATGTTCACGGAGATAAACGAACGAACATGAACAAGATAATTTTTTAAACGAACGACCATGAACAAGAAAACTCGTTCGTTTATCCGTTCGTGTTCGTTCGTTTGTTCGGCTAACTTAAACGAACGAACATGAACAAGCCATTGTTCGTGTTCCTTCGATTCGTTTACAACCCTATGTATACCTATTATAGAAGTAAAGAAATACAAAAATAAGAAAGTGTTAAGTTGTGGAGACCGATTCATCTTTTTGACCTCACAGCTTGTAACGATCAGGTTTTATACGAAGTACAAACCAAAAATTTCATTTTTCATTTAAAAATTTTACAATTTATCTCTGTGTACATTGGTACTCTGGAATACAAGAAGTTATAACAATGATCGTACTGACCTCAAGTACAGGATCGAGTCAGGCGTCACAATAATCTACCTACAAAATTGTAACATCCCAAAATTCAAGACCAAAAATTTCGTTTTAATTAAGTTATTATATAAAACCAACAGTATAAAAACATTCATATTAATATCTCATGTCAAAACCAAAGTGTCAATAATCAAAACATATTATCATAAAACCATATAAGAGTGTAATCCCAAAGATCTCATGTGCGGAAAACATAGTGTGATGCGTTGCGATCAAACCGACTCCTTTCCTTTGAAAACAAGTACCTGAAACCAAAACTGTAAACCGTAAGCACGAAGCCTAGTGAGTTCCCCCATCATACCACATACCATACAATCATATAACATACATACTGCCATGCATATCTGGGTGTCCGACCTACCCCTTCGGTCCTCTCGACCGGTGACCTTGCCTAGCATATATGGGTGCTGGCCTACCCCCTTCGGTCCTCTCGACCGGTGACTGCCTAGCATATTTGGGTGCTGGCCTACCCTTCGTTATCTTTCAACCGATAACTGGGAGCTGGCCTCCCCTTCGGTATCTTTCAACCGGTAACCGGGGACTATTTCACCCCTATCACTACTACATAAACCCTAGCATATAAACATAAATCACATACTACCTAGCATATCTGGGTGCTGGCCTACCCCTTCGGTCCTGTCGACCGGTAACCGGGGACTATTTCACCTCCTACTACCACTATCACATAACATCATAACATGCTAGAACAGAAAACATATCAGGTAGCAGCAACCTAGATGAATATCATAAAGACAATCATCTAACATACAACTCCTACTGGTGGGCCGACATTGTGGTCGCAGACCCACCGCCACTGGAAGGTAACTCACCTCACACTGCTGAAGTCTCGTAGATACAATCCCACACTGCTGAAGTCCCGCAGACTCAACCCCAGCTGCTGGATGACTGATTCCCGAACTGTCAACACCAAAATAACACAAAATTAATAATTGGGTTCCACTGCATAACCATGAGTACATACTTTGGATAATTACTACATTACCCCAAGCTTGGCTTTATGCAAGCCCAAGGCCCAATCCATAGGCCCAAAGTCAACTAGGAAATCAAAGCCCAACATATGGCCCAATTTTCCAAATTGGGCCCAAGCCTTTACATGGTCTTATTCTAAGGCCCAACATCATATAATCATTAAGGCCCAAACTATGGCCCATCTATGACCCAATTTTCCAAAT